GAGAAACAAATATTTCAGGAGTCCAGGTAAGAGGCACATGGCAGAAACAAACAAACAAACAAAAAGACTTTGCCAGAGCTCCTATGTCATGCTCACGGCTGAGGAGAAACAATGATCTTGCTGGGAATGAGTGCAAGTGGCAAGTGGGGGAACAGAAGGAGTCCTGAGCGGGTCTGACTGCAGTGTCCCCAGGGGGCCAAATGGGCAGCACAGCAGCCTCTCTACCCGCAAAGGTCTGTTTCTTGTCTGCTTTCTCACTGGGAGTGGCAGGCCCTGGTGACCGGCCCAACCTCGGGGGCGCCCAGCAGCTGGGTCCCCACCACATGCCCAAGTCTGGCCCTCTCACTCCGGCCCGTCTCCTGAGCTGGAGAACAGAGCCCAACCCTCTGTCCCCGGCGCTCACCTCCCATCCAGGCCATCTCCCTGAGGACTCCCCTGCCGCCAACTCCCACCTGGATCCTCTGGCCCTGGCGGGGCATCATTCTTTCAAAATAATCCACAACTGAGGGCAGTGGCTCACACCTGAATCCCAGCACTTTGAGAGGCCAAGGTGGGAGGACCACTTGAGCCCAGGAGTTTCAGATCAGCCTGGATAACACAGACAGACCCTCTCTCCACAAAAAAATATTTTTAAAAAATTAACTAGGTGCAGTCCAGCCCGTAGTCCCAGCTATTTGGGAGGCTGAGGCAGGGGGATCACTTAAGCCCAGGAGTTCAAGGCTACAGTGAGCTGTGATCACACCACTGCACTCCAGCTTGGGCAACAGACAGAAAGACCCTGTCTCTTTAAAAAAAAAAAAAAAAAAAGCCATCAGCTGGCTCAGGGTAACCACCTGCCAAGAGTCTCCAGCTGAGCATAAGACTTGCTTCCTAGTTGTCTCACGTGTCTCCATATGAAGAGACCACCAAACAGGCTTTGTGTGAGCAACACGGCTGTTTATTTCACCTGAGTGCAGGCTGGTTGAGTGTGAAAAGAGAGTCAGCAAAGGGTGGTGGGATTATCATTAGTTCTTATAGGTTTTGGGATAGGCAGTGGAGATAGGAGCAATGTTTTGTGGGCAGGAGGTGGATCTCACAAAGTACATTCTCAAGGGTGGGGAGAATTACAAAGAAGCTTCTTAAGGGTAGGGGAGGTTATAAAGAACCTTCTTAAGGGTGGGGGAGATTACAAAGTACATGGATCAGTTAGGGTGGGGCAGAAACAAATCACCATGGTGGAATGTCATCAGTTAAGCTATTTTCACTTCTTTTGTGGATCTTCAGTTGCTTCAGGCCATCTGGATGTATATGTGCAGGTCACTGGGGATATGATGGCTTAGCTTGGGCTCAGAGGCCTGACACTAGTGTTTACAGAGCTCCTGTGAATCTCAGTTGTTTCACTGATTGTCATACGCAACCAGTGACTTTCAGGCCAGCCTTGTTCCCACAGGCGCCCTCACAGGTGGGCTCTCCCATGGGCCTGGGCACCCGGTGCTAGGCCTGCCCTGCTATGGTCTGGACATGAGTGGCAAGCTCCGTGATCCTGCACCCCTTGCCTCTCCCGCTGCCCTCTCTGCAGCCCTGCCCCTGGCAGCCCCTGCCCACCTTCGCCTCTGTGCAGGGCCACAGGCTTCCTTGAAGCAAATGCTACAACTTTGCTTTGTAAAAAAAATATAACAGCTTTATTGAGATATAATTTATTGTACTATTCATGTATTACCTTTTGCACTATACCATGGAATGTTTCCCATTTCAATGGCACAGTTGAATGGTTTTTCAGTGAATACACAAGGATGAGCAAACGTCACCACTCTCTAGTCCCAGAGTATTTCCAGACCCCAAAGAAACTCCGCAGGCCTTGACAGCCCCTCCCACTCCTCCAGTCCCCCACCTCCAGGCCCTCACCAGGCTACACTATGGGCTTGTCTTCGTGTGACTTCTGTCTGTATGGGTTTGTCTACTCTGAACTCTTCATATAAACCGAACCATACAATTTGTGGCCATTTGTGTCTGGAATCTCTCTGTCTTTAAAAAAAACAAAATTCGCTGGGCGCGGTGGCTCACGCTTGTAATCCCAGCACTTTGGGAGGCTGAGGCGGGCGGATCATGAGGTCAGGAGTTCGAGACCATCCTGGCTAACAAAGTGAAAACCTGTCTCTACTAAAAGCGTAAAAAATTAGCCAGGCATGGTGGCGGGTGCCTGTAGTCCCAGCTACTGGGGAGGCTGAGACAGGAGAATGGCGTGAATCCGGGAGGCGGAGGTTGCAGTGAGCCGAGCTCTCGCCCCTGAAGTCCAGCCTGGGCAACAGAGCAAGACTCTGTCTCAAAACAAAACAAAACAAAAATCACTTTTATTTTTGAGATAGGGTTTCCTTCCATTGCCCAGGCTGGAGTGCAGTGGCATGATCATAGCTCACTGTAGCTTCGACCTCCTGGGCTCAAGCAATCCCCTCACTTCAGCCTCCTGAGTAGCTGGGATTACAGACACACACCACCATGCCTGATTAATTTGGTCTTTTTTTGTAGAGATGAGGTCTTATTATGTTGCCCAGACTGGTCTGGCCCTCCTGGGCTCAAGTGATCCTCCTGCTTTGGCCTCCCAAAGTGCTGGGATTATAGGCGTGAGCCACCACACTCGGCTATTTTTATTTTTTAGTTGACACATAATAATTGTACGTATTTGTAGGGTATGAAGTGATGTTTCTATACATGCAATGTATAGTGATCAGATGAGGGTAATTAGCATAGCTGTCATCTGAAACATTGATCATTTCTTTGCATTACGAACACTCAATAATCTTCTAGCTATATGAAAATACATGATTTTTCTTTTGTTTTGTTTTGAGACAGGGTCTCACTCTGTTGTTGTCTTCATGGAGAGCAGGAGCAGAGGCCTTGGGAAGCCAGTGGGCCTTGGCCTCAGCACTGCCGGTAGAGGGTCCCCACCATATAAATGAAGTGCCAGCGTGCTTGTGAAGTCTAAGCCTTTGGCATTTGTCAGGAATATCGGGCGAGGCCTCCGGGACCAGGCGGGGCGGGGCGGGGCGAGGCGAGGAAGGGCGGGACGGGGCGGGGCGGGACCAACAGCGCATACTTAAGCGGCCCGGGCCAGTACCGGCCTCCCGCCATGGCTCTGAGGCGCGTCCTACCCGCGCTGCGCCCCTACATTCCCCGCTTCGCCCCACTGTCCACGGCGCCGGCCGTCCGCGAGCAGCCCGCCGCGGGCCCAGGAGCCCTGCCGGGACGTGGGTCGGCCAAGGCAGTGCGCCCACCGGTGCCCGCCGTGGACTTCGGCAACGCGCAGGAGGCGTACCGCAGCCGGCGAACCTGGGAGCTGGCGCGCAGCCTGCTGGTGCTGCGCTTGTGCGCCTGGCCCGCGCTGCTGGCGCGCCACGAGCAGGTGCGCGGGGTGCAGGCGGGGGCGCGGGGCTTCTGCCGGTCCCGGGAGCCTTTACGGAGCTTCCTGGCGTGAAAGGGGTGCCTCCCAAGCATCTCCTGGAGCGAGGGAAGCCAGGAAGGGAGGCGTTTCCTGCAGTCCCTTTCGGACCTTGCAAATTTTCCTACTTGTCGATGTCTACCAACTAAAAACAATGATCGTTTTAATATTTACGATATATACCACTTGTGGAAATACAAAGTTATCACTTGGAATTTAAAATGGAGTATTCTTCATGTTGCCACAAGAGAAGCCTGGTGTAGGACTCCAGAGTTAAATCCACGGGACCCAGCCGCTTCCCAGACAGGGCCACTCTGAGCACACTGTTGGGGAAAAATGAGAAGCTCCTCAAACGCCCAGCTTTGAACTCACCCATGGTAACTTTAAAAAGTGTGAGGACTTTTGGTGGGGGTGGGGGTGGGGGCGGGGGCAACAAGCAGAACACTGTTGTAGCCGCATCGGCCTAGGGGTATTAGAGATGAGGATTATCTCCAGGTGACCCTGGGAAGAGTTTGCAAGTTTCGTTCCCTTTGTTGGCGCCGGGGTTCTGGTGGTGTTGATTTCTCAGGTGAGACTGTGTCGGGGGCTGCAACCCTGGCCTCACCGGGAGGCGGGGGAAGGCGGGGAGTGGTGTGAGATGAGAAGCACTGAGCCACACTTGAGCTTAGGTGAGGCCTCGGCGAATGCGAGGTGAGGGCAGAAGTCCACGAAATCAGAGTCAGATGCTGTTGGCCCGAATCCCATGGGGAGCGCCACGGTCAGCCGAGGACCAGTGGTGGCGGGAGTGTGGAGGATGGTGGAGGAAGAAGGAGCTGAATTGGACAGACGGTGGCCTCTGAGAGGCCATTTCTGTGCTTGTGTGCATAAAGATGCCTTAAGGTCAAGCCGTGGCCGTGGAGAACAGGAAGGTGAGAAGGGACATCCCAGGTAGAGGAACTGGCAGGGGGAGGGACGGTGATGTGGAGGCTTTGGGGAGTGCCCACATCTAAGGGGCATCCAGAAAGAGCAGCCAGTGCTGGTGGTGCTGCAGTAGGAGGAGGAGGCAGCAGGGCAGGAATGCCAGGGGAGGGAGTGGCGAGTTACAGGTCCCTGCCCAGGGCAAGGACGGGCATCCTAGGTGGCAGCTGGGGCCAGCTGTGCAGAAGCTGTGCCCACCTTGTGGCCGAGATGGAGAGAGGGCTAGGAAGGCACCAGGTCAGGTTTCTCTAGGCACAGCCCTAAGCTTTCTTGTCTAGACTAGTTGTTGCACAGAGAAGCCAGAAGAGCTGGGTGTGGGGTTTGGTGCCCAGTCCGCTGAGGGGAATGCCAGGTGCTGTTCCGTGACTGTGGGAGGAACGTGTCGGCTCTGCCGTCCCTTGGGTGCCTTCTTAAGGCAAATGCCAGGGCTCAGGGATGGTGCTGTGGGTACCTGGAAGAGGCAGGGCATCCAGAGGCGACCTCTCCCAGGCTCCCCTAGGGTCCTGCCTGTGCTCTGGGAAGCCCCTCGGTGGGGTCTGTGCTGTTATCTTGTTAGTGGTCTCGTGGGTGTTGGCAGCCTCAGCACTGGAAGAAGGCAGAGGCCAGGTCCTGGGCCTGTGAGCTGCTCACTAGAACCTGGTCCTGTGGGTAGGCCAGAGCAGGGGGGCCTGCCCTCACCCTCTGGGCTGTGGCTGTGGGGAGATTCCTTCTGCTGAGCCAGCACAGGTCTGTGAGGCACCGGGGCAGTGGGGCCATCACACCTGCCACAGGAGTGTCAGGTTGCAGGAATTGGTCTTTGAGCTGCTGCCTTGGATGTGGACAGCGTTGGGGCCCGCCCTTGCCTGAAAGCAGGGCTTTTTGAGGAGGGTTTAGGAAAGTCCCGGGATTTCCATAACAACAGCACTGAGGTTAGGTGTGCGCCCACACAGAAGGGACAGGACCCATGGTGACGGTGGTTCCCTAAGGGGGGGAGGGGAGAGAACTGGCTCTACCAGTGTTGCTCTGCACACATCTGATCGAGTCTTTCACAGAGGGTACAAGTGTATGTGTTACTGGTGCAGGTTTCTAAATCCTCGAAGACCCTCCTCACCTGAAGATGTGGGGCTGCCCTCGTCTCAGGTAGTGCCATGCGGGGGCATCAGTGACACCAGGATGGTGTTACAGTGGTTGCTTTGCTCTGCTCATACCAGCCCTAGGCTGGGCATGGTGGCTCATGCCTATAATTCCAGCACTTCAGGAGGTCAAGGCAGGAGGACCACTTAAGGCCAGGAGTTCAAGACCAGCCTGAGCAACATTGTGAAACCCTGTCTCTACAAAATATTTTTAAAAGTTAGCAGGGGCCGGGCGCGGTGGCTCACACCTGTAATCCCAACACTTTGGGAGGCCGAGACGGGTGGATCACCTGAAGTTAGGAGTTCAAGACCAGCCTGGTCAACATGGAGAAACCCCAATCTCTACTAAAAAATATAAAAATTAGCCGGGCGTGGTGGTGGGCACCTGTAATCTCTGCTACTTGGGAGGCTGAGGGGGGAGAATCGCTTGAACCTGGGAGGTGGAGGTTGCAGTGAGCCGAGACTTTGCTACTGCACTCCAGCCTGGGCAACAGAGCAAAACTCTGCCTCAAAAAAAAAAAAAAAAAAGAAAAAGTTAGTTGAGCTGGTGGTGCATGCCTTTAGTCCCAACTACTCTGGAGACTGAGACAGGAGTGTCACTTGAGCCCAGGAGTGAGACCCTGCCTCTAAAAATAAATAAATAAATAAACAAACAAACAAATAAACTTGCTGGCCCTGCCTGTGTGCTTCTGTAGCCCTGTGCAGGGAGCTTTCAGCCTCAGCCCGGACCCAGTCCCTCAGCCCCCGATCTTTTGAAGAAGCATCCCTGGAACCAGTGCAGCCTGGCTCCCGCCTCTTCATTTAGTGCTGGCTGTGCAGAGGCGAGCGGTTAGGTAGAGAGAGACTGCGTGGCCCTGTGAGGCAATTGTGCCAGCCCCTGCAGCAGACAGCTGCCCACCCTCCCTCCTGTTGGGTTTCTGATGGTGCTCTCAGAGCGGATGTGGATGAGCCTAGTGATGGTTTTCAGGTCCCCAGTTCTGCCCCGCCTGCCACTTGGGTGCTCTTTGATATATTTCAGACCCATCCTGTTCTCCCAGCTATCCCTGGGTGCTGCCGGCAGGAATGAGGCCTGGCTCCCGGCTCAGGCTCAGTGGGAGACGGAGAACATGTCAGCACGTTCATTTTCCAGTTTCTAATCCTCTTTATGAACAAAATGCAGTAAAGTCAGATTCTGTGTGGAGGCTGCAGGAAGGCAGGGGTGAGTGCCTGGGAAACCCTGGTCCTTGGGGCTGCCCCATGGCGTGCCCAGGAGTGATGGTCAGGAGGCATCTCCATGGGGCACCAATGTTCAGAGTAAGGCTGTGGGGCCATGTCTGCCTGTGGGCAGGTGTGTGGGTGCTCAGGGCTGGCTTGGGTATAAGTGTTTGACTCGCTAATGCTTTTGCTTAGACTAGAAGTTGTTCCTGAAACTGGTTTCAAGAGATGCTCCCCACAAAAAAGGAGTTCTAGTTTCCATCGAGTTTTAGAAATCCCAGGCTCTTCCTGTGTCGGTGCTGAGACGGCAGGGGTGGCAGACACGGGGCAGAGGTGTGCTTCTGAGTATCACACTCGGCCTTCCTCTCCCAGTAGCCTCTTGTTGTCCCTGTCTTTTCTGCCCTGGCTGTCCCCCGTGCTGGAGCTCCCCCAGTTCTCCATGCCATCTCCTTGCCTTGGCAAGCCCCACTCCTGGGTCTAGGTTAGTAAACACCCCTGCCCACCCTGCAGGCACTGCCCCAACCCCTGTTCTGAGTGACAGGCAGAGTCCCTCCTTCCCCTTTGGGGTTCGTTTACCACCAGGATGTGAGATCCTGGTCAGTTTCCTTTGGTTGTTTCCAGTGTGTAAAAGGTGCTTGGTGCGTGGGAGCTTGGGACATGTGAATGAGCGATGTGGTGAAATATGATTGGAGGAGACAGCCAAGCGGTTCCCGGGCAGCATCCGTCAGAGTGGCTGGTGAGCCCCAGATGACCCTGCAGAGCCTATGGGTCATGGGGAGGGAGTCATCTCACAGGCCTCTGTGGACTGTCACCTAGCTCATTGTCCTTGTCGCCAGGGCATGCTTCCCTCCAGCTGGACACAGACTCAGCCTGAGTTTCACACGTTTGTTATTTAGCATCCATTCAGGGGCCGGCCTCGTGCCAGTCACACTGTTTTAGGGACTTGGGATAAGAGGAAACAAAACATTGAAAAATCTGGGCAGTCAAGTACTAGAAAGTCAAGTTAGATCCTCCTCTTCCCCCGCAGAACTGCCAAGATGTGGATACAGAGGATGGTCTCACAATGCCCGCTGCTGTCCCCACAGAGGCCGGCCATTCTCCTTTTTCTCCACCAAGCAGTGGTCAGGCACCCACTGTGTGCCACTGGAGTGATCATGGGTGGGGCCCTGAAGGGGCAGAGTCCCGGTGGGAACAGTGTGCCCAGGCCAAGCAGGCGGCACCTCCTGTGGTCTCTTTGTTCTGGATGGGAACTGGAGTGATGGACAGAGTGGAGAAGCAAGCGGCTTTGGCTGGTCTTCACCGTGAAATCGACCCTGGAAGCCCAATCACCAAGAGACCATATCAGGGACCCACGGCTGGGGTTAAGTGTTGTGGTCAGGGATGAGCAGCGGGGCCCTGCTTGGGGAAGGGGAGTTCGAGCAGCCCAGGACAGCGGCTTCCCTTTGCCTTTCAGCTGCTGTATGTTGCCAGGAAACTTCTAGGGCAGAGGCTATTCAACAAGCTCATGAAGATGACCTTCTATGGGCATTTTGTAGCCGGCGAGGACCAGGAGTCCATCCAGCCCCTGCTTCGGCACAACAGGGCCTTCGGTGTCGGTGCCATTCTGGACTACGGGGTGGAGGAGGACCTGAGCCCCGAGGAGGCAGAGCACAAGGAGATGGAGTAAGGCCTGCCCGGTGTCTGCGGGCATTCTGATCATGACCTGGGAGCACCCAGTGGGAGCAGGTGGGACGTGTCCAGCTGCTGGGCTTCAGCCTCAGCTGGGTGGAGGCAAAGCCTAGGAGAGCTTGGTCAGCCCAACTACCGACGACCCTCCTGGGTTCTGCCTGGAGTTCTTGCATTTTTGCTTCACGTAGATGACCGCCTCTCAGCTTTCGTGGGAGGCCTGGTGTGCGTGAGGCCTGAGGAAGCCGAGCACAGAATGGCCCTTGGCCCTATCTAGCCCACCACCTGGAGGGGCACAGGCACCAGCATATGGACCAAGCACTCTTCAAAGAGTGGTTGGTCTTGCCTGGATCTCCCATGAGCCAGGGACTGCTCCAGGAAGTGGAGAGAAACATGGTCTTGTTCTGTCCTGATGCCCAGGAGGGCGGGTCCCGGTGGTACCAACTGCCCTCTACACTCACTGCCCAGGGAAGGGGCTCTGTGTTGGGTTAGTGACCTCCAGGCCGGCCGGCCACTCTGCTCCTGGCTTCAATTCCCTTCTCCACTGACACAGGGGGAGGGGCCAGGTCTAGAAGTTTCCACACCTGCAGGGCAGGCTGAGGCCAGGCAAGGGTCAGGCAGTGGGACCTGCCTGTAGGTCAGGAATCCCTGCAGAAGAGACGCTGTAGCAGAGCCTCCTCCATCGGGTCAGGAAATGTTTGTGTAAAGAGCCAGGTGGCACAGACTCTCAGTCTTGGGCCAGACCCTCCCTGCCACAGCGGCTTCACTCTGCCTCAGTAGAGCCATAGTAATTACAATTTCATGTAATTTTCTTGTGTCACAAAATACTATTCTTGTTTTGATTTCTTTCAGTCATTTTTTTAAAAGTAGGGTCTTGCTGTGTTGCCCAGGCTGGAGTGCAGTGGTGCCATGGTTCACTGCGGCCTCAACCTTCCGGGCTCAAGTGATCCTCCCATCTGAGCTCCCTAAGTAGCTGGGACCATAGGCATGCACCACCATATCTGGCTAATTAAAAAAATTTTTTTGTAAAGATGAATCTCCCTATGTCTCCTTATGTATTTGGGTCCCCTGCACCCAGACAGCAGCTGAGCCTGACCCACATGAGGCTTGGGACAATCCCTCTGTGGACCTTGTCAGGTCTTGTTTGGTATGCCCCTCCCTGGTGGCTGGCCTGAGAAGGGGAGGGAAAGGCAGTCACATGAGGCCTCCAGCCCTGGGAACGGAATGTCTGTGCTTTGCCTTAGCATGCCGGCTGCCAGTTGCCCGGAGAGAGAAGCCCAGCCCCTGCCTTGCGATTGGCTGTTTTGAAGGTGGGGTGCTCCAGCCCCAGCACCCCACTGTGTTCCTAGCAGGCCCTGTGGGCCTCACAGCTGCCCGAGCCCTTGGCTGCAACCTTTGCTGAGCTGCCTGCTGAATAACCAATGGCCTGTGTGTTCTCAGAAGGAGTCTGGGTGGGGACTTGGTTTCACAATGGGGTTTTCTTCTCAGGCACCTCTGGTATGAAAAGACTCCTTTCCCAGGGTGGTCCTGCCTGGCTTCCTCCCTGCCCTGCAGGCTGTGTGTCTGGAGGTGGGCTGGCCTGCACTCTGCCAGGGAGCTGGGCACCCGTGCCCTTAGGAGCCTGAGTCCCTTGCCCTGCAAGGGCTGCACCTCTCTTGCTGCTGGTGGCTGCTGTCTGCAGGGGCCCTGCTCTAGCTCTAGGAAGTGAACAGGGTTCCCTCCTGTCCTCTGTGCCTTCAGAGGGGCTGGGGATAGGGCTGGGTCTGCAAACACTGGTCTGATGTCCACACGGCAGCATGGCCTGCCTGGCCGGGAATGACTAGTTATGCAGACCCTAGTGCAGGGAACTGCTGAAAGATCTGTATTCCTAACCTACCTTCCTGTCACAAGGGCCATGGGCTCTACTCTGGGGAGAGACGCTGAGGCCACCGCCCCACATGAAGGCCATGGCGGGTGGTACTGGCCTAACCGTGAGAGGCCCAGGGAGGATGGAGGCGTCTGAGTGCATGGCAAAGCGAGTCCCAGCAGTGCTCTGGAGCACAAAGGAGGAGGTGGGAGGCTGGAGGTGCAGGACAGCAGCGCCCACACAGAGGAGGGGTGGGACCATGCTTCCCAGAGGCCAGGGCCCCACCTGATCCCAGGAGAGAAGTCCCAGGGATACCCTAAGCAGGCTGAGGTCTTAGGGATGGGGAAGGGGTCAAGCATCTTCCTGACGATTGGGCTGTGAGGGGACACCTAGCGGGTGGATGGGGGCATCGGTTGGGCTGTGCAGGCCCAGGGCTGGCTGGAGGCGGGGTCTGGGCCTTGGTCTCCAGGCCGGGGCAGCTCACTTGGGATATGTGTGCAGTGTGTGTCCTGAGTGAGGGGCTGAGGAGGCAGGGACTGGGGGAGCTGGGGAAGGGGGTACAGGTAGGAAGGGGCTTGCCAGGCTTTCCTCCAGGGGAGAGTTGGGCAAGGGCAGGGCGTGGACCCCCATGCTCTGCTTGTTTCAAACAGGCATCACGTCCCCAGGAACAAATACCCAGAGCTGAGCTCGGTAGAGGCTGAAGGGGTAGTCAGGGTCTTCCTGCTGTCTCAGAAGACCCCCTGGGGACTCGTGCTTGTCCTCCTCTGCCCCATGTCCCCTTGTTGCTCTTCCCTTCTCTGTATCCCGGGCCGTGCCCATGTGTGTGATCATGTGCCCTTCCATAGACTATGCTCTGGGCATGATGAGGGGTGGGGCTGGGGGAGCACAAGGCGGGTCCCAGCTTTAAGCAGTCATTGGGATGTGGTCCCCACCCTGATCAGGGCCTCACATCCACCAGTTCACCCTTCCTCCTCTAACACCCCACGGTTGCCAGTGCCACGTGCCCCCCTCTTCCCTGTGGTGCCTTGAGCGTCCCAGGTGGGGAAAGCCAGATTTCCCATGTGGCACCGGCAGTTCTGAATCAGCTGCTCTGAGGGTGTGTTCTTCCTCCCCTCCAGTGGAAACAGGACCCTGACCTGCCTGGGAACCACCATTTGTGTCTCCTTGTGACTAACCCATGATGCCTGTTGGAGAGTGTGGCCCTGTCCTTGCCACGTAGCTGTCCACTCTGAGACCTGGTTGCCCCTCTGGCCACTGCACATGCTATGTGGTCATCTTGGCCACTGTGCTTGGCTGTGTCAGCCTGGTCTGTGCTCTGGAGGTTCACGGAGGGAAACAGGGGCAGCCTCTGGTGTTCTGCCTCTGAGCGTGTCAGAGCAGGAGAGGGAGCGGCCCTGGCTTCCCCAGCCTCTCCTGCCGGGCTCACCTCGGAGGATGAACACAACAGCTGTGGGAATGCTTAGCCGGAACTCGTCTGCCCGGGGACCTGTCAGATAACGATCCTGTTTCATGAAGGCAGGCTGCCTCACAGGCAGACACCTGTCTGGTTAAGGCTCGTGTTATCCCAACTGTGGGCTGTGTGGTTTCAAGATGGGATCTTCTCATCAGGGTCATGGAGGCCCCTGAGGCCCCATCCTCACTGTCTGCTGTTCCTTGCCATGAGGGTTTCTACCCTGGGCGGGGCTCTGGCTGCCGCCCCAGCCTTGGCAGAGTGAGTCCCCCTTGGAGATGGCTTTTGCCTGGTTGTACCCGAACCTCGGTGTGAAAGTCCTGGGACAGGCCGGGCGCGGTGGCTCAAGCCTGTAATCCCAGCACTTTGGGAGGCTGAGACGGGCGGATCACGAGGTCAGGAGATCGAGACCATCCTGGCTAACACTGTGAAACCCTGTCTCGCCGGGTGCGGTGGCTCAAGCCTGTAATCCCAGCACTTTGGGAGGCCGAGACGGGCGGATCACGAGGTCAGGAGATCGAGACCATCCTGGCGAACACGGTGAAACCCCGTCTCTACTAAAAAATACAAAAAACTAGCCGGGTGAGGCGGCGGGCGCCTGTAGTCCCAGCTACTCGGGAGGCTGAGGCAGGAGAATGGTGGGAACCCGGGAGGCGGAGCTTGCAGTGAGCTGAGATCCGGCCACTGCACTCCAGCCTGGGCGACAGAGCGAGACTCCGTCTCAAAAAAAAAAAAGAAAAAAGAAACAAAGAAACCCTGTCTACTAAAAAAAAAAATACAAAAAACTAGCTGGGTGAGGTGGCAGGCGCAGCAGTCCCAGTTACTCGGGAGGCTGAGGCAGGAGAATGGCGTAAACCCGGGAGGCAGAGCCCCACACGGTGAGCCGAGATCACGGCTCACTGCACTCCAGCCTGGGCGACACAGCGAGACTCCGTCTCAAAAAAAAAAAAAAAAAAGAAAAAAAAGAAGAGCTTGCAGTGAGCCGAGATCCGGCCACTGCACTCCAGCCTGGGCGACACAGCGAGACTCCGTCTCAAAAAAAAAAAAAAAAAAAGAAAAAAAAAGAAAGTCCTGGGACTGACCTCACGACTGGTCTTGAGGTTCCCAAGCCAGGGACCCGGGAGCTCCCTGTTGAAGGCAGGGGGTCACGTGCTGCCTGCCTGTTCCCTAGTCACAAGATGACATTCCACCTTCTTCTGTCACATCTGTCAGCACAAGGCGGCCAGCGCATGTCTGCCGGCTCCCACCTCTAGGCTGCAGCCTTAGAGGACCTGGAGGCACATGAGGAGTCCCTGGCCCATGTGGGGCAGCCCAGGAGCGGGTGGGAGGGAAGGCCTCCTGGTGGGGGCTCCTGGCCCAGGGTTTGCTCCTTGAGCAGGTGGAAGGTGGAAGCAGGCAGCTGAGGCCCCTTGATGTAGAGGCCTGTGGGATGCGGCTCACTGACCACTGCTCTGCCTTTACCCTTCCCGGCACCCGAGGGGCACCCTGTCCTTTCCTGTGAGTGTGGACAGAGCTGCCCCCGAGGGTCCGAGCGCCTCTGGGGAGCTTCAGGAAGGCTCTGGATGCTGTTGGTCATGCAGCCAACCTCTCCCCGTGGTCACTGACTTAATCAGGCTTTGAATATAAAGTCAGATGACCACAGAGCTGCTCCCGGGGCCAGGGAGAGACCATCGTCACTCTGTCACAGTAGACTTCACAGCCACAGCAACTCTTGCTAGCCCTAATGACACAGCACCGAAACCACGTGCCAGGAAGCAGACTGTGGTGTAAGGAGGAGGAAGAGGAGGGTGTTCACAGTGGCTCTGGCAGGGGTGCAGGGCTGGTGGGGGAGGGGAGCCACGTACCCTAGAGGACGGAGGGGCCAGTGGGAATGGGGGTGCGGGCCAGACGGGGATGGAGAGGCACCTGCAGGAAGGACAGGGGCTTGGCTGGGCAGAGTGTGGCCAGCCTAGCGGGGGACAGCCAGCATCCTGGCCTCACTGGTCTTGAGGTTCCCATGCCAGGGGCCCGGGATTTTGGGTATTACTGGGAAATGATGGGAACCTGGAGCGGGGTGGCATTAAACAAGATGAGATGGTAAGATCTGCTTTCACTTTAAAGGAACATTTCTGGTTGTTGCTTGGAAAAGAAGTGTCAGGGGCAAGAATGCTACAGGAGAGCCGGCCTGGAGGACAGGGCGGGACTGCGGGCTGGCTGTGTGGGGGCAGGAGCCTGCACTTGCATCAGGGGTGCCTGGGAGACCCCGGCTCTGGGACAGAGGCCTGAGTAAGGGGGCCTCGTTGGGGATTTAGGGATCTCTGTGTGCTGGTGCCTTCCCGCCTCCAGTTCCTCTCAGCCCTTACTTGGAACCAGGTCACTACCTTTATTCAAGAACTTGCTGCAAGGCCTGGGCTGTTCTGAGAACTCAGGCATATCGTTCTGATTTCTCCACCCACAAGGAGCCCTGGGCTTCCTGAGCCCTTGGGACACAACAGCCCCATAAAGTGCTGCCCCTCCCAGGCCCAGGTGTTCTCCCCAGGCTGGGGCAGGGCTGGGGCTGCACCTTGGAATCTACCCTCCACCGGGGTTGTGGTGGGGCCCTCTGTGCAGCCTCAGTGGGAACTTGCCTGTCACCTGAGGCTCAGGTGGTGTGACAATGACCTTTGCCTTCCCCCTCCTTCCCACAGGTCCTGCACCTCAGCTGTGGAGAGGGATGGCAGCGGTGAGTGACAGGCCGCCGCACGTGAACAGACGCCCTCCCCACTCCACGCACCCCCTGGTTTCTAGGAGAGTCTAGGCTGGAGCACAAGTGGGCCTTGGGGTGATGTCAGAGTCCGGGATCCTCCCTATGTCCAGGGCCCTTCCTGTGTCCGGGGCACCTGCTCTGTCGCTCTGGGCTCTGACATACTCGCAAGCGTCTGGGGAAAGAGATTCCTTGCTGCTTTTTGATGGCTTCCTGGTGGACCCAGGCTTTTGTTGAGGAGGCTCTGCTGTCCTGGCCTCATGAGGAGGTTTAGCCAGGGGGATGCTGCACTCCAGGTGGAAGAGCTGCAGTGCAGACAGGGTTTGGGGATGGGAACCATGGGGCAGCACAGTGCCCGGGCCAGGCTGGCATGGCCACTACGCTTGGAGCCCTCCTGAGGGCAGGGGTCCTGGGGCCTTGGCATGTGGGCGCTGGGAGTGGGTGTTTGGAGCTGTGCTCAGGCCGTGCGTTCACCATTCCAGGGACAAATAAGCGAGATAAGCAATACCAGGCTCACCGGGCCTTCGGGGACCGCAGGAGTGGCGTCATCAGTGCCCGCACCTACTTCTATGCCAACGAGGCCAAGTGCGACAGCCACATGGAGACATTCTTGCGCTGCATCGAAGCCTCAGGTGGGGCCCCCTCTTTGCTAGCTATACCCCCGCCATGTCCCAGCCTGAGTGGACCCCCGGGCTCATGGCTGGTGGGTGAACGCCAAGCTGGGGCAGGAGCCAGAGGGCTGGGTTCTGGTCACACTTGGGTGCCTCACTGTTCGGCCCCTTCCTGAGGGGTCCCACTGCCTCCCAGAAGGCATCTCCTGCCCCACCCCAGCCCCCTGTTCCCTGATCCCACCTCATGCTCCCCACCCTTCTCCCTGGCTCAGGGCCAGGACCAGGAGCTGCAGGAAGTTGGTCCATGTCAGCTGCCGAGCCACCCTTAGCCCAGGATGGAGGTTCCGTTCAGGGAGCTGGTGCCGCATCTTCTGCCTGGGAATCCCTCCCTGACACAGCCTCTGGGGGCCAGAGATGGCGGAAGCAGGTGCTTCCAGGGCTAGAGAAGCCGGAGGTCACCAAAGCCCAGTGTCCTTCAGTGTTAGAAACACCTGACCCTGCACAGCCCCATGCTGGCCCCAGCAGCCCTCCGTCAGGGGCAGCAGCTCCCAGGCCTGTTTATGTTTTTGTTTGTTTGTTTCAAATGAGACTGGGTCTTGCTCTGTTGCCCACGCTGGAGTGCAGTGGTGTGATCATAGCTCACTGCAGCCTAGACCTCCTGGGCTCAAGCCATCCTCCCACCTCAGCCTCTTGAGTAACTGGGTCTACAGGTGCACGCCGCCACACCGGGCCAAGTTTTTGTTTTTGTTATTATTTGTGTAAAGAGGAGGTCTTACACCCAGGCACGGTGGCTCACGCCTGTAATCCCAGTACTTTGGGAGGCCAAGGTGGGTGGATTGCCCGAGGTCAGGAGTTAAAGACCAGCCTGGGCAACATGGTGAAACCCTGTCTCTACTAAAATACAAAACATTAGCCAGGAATGGCAGCAGGTGCCTGTAATCCCAGCTACTTGGGAGGCTGAGACAGGAGAATCACTTGAATCCAGGAAGCAGAGGTTGCAGTGAGCCGAGATTGGGCCACTGCGCTCCAGCCTGGGCGACAGAGTGACTCCATCTCAAAAAAAAACAAAAAACAAAGAGAGATCTCACTATGTTGCCCTGGCTAGCCTGGAACTCCTCCTGGGCTCAAGTGATCCCCCCACCTTGGCCTCCCAAAGTGCTGGGATGACAGGCGCACACTACCACATCCAGCTAATTTTCATATTTTTTCATATTTTGAGACCAGCCATGTTGCCCAGGCTAGTCTCAAACTCCTGGGCTCAAGTGAACCTTCCACTTGGGCCTCCCAAAGTGCTGGGATTACAGGTGCATACCACTGCACCTGGCCCTTCCGAGCAGTGCTTGGAAGCCGCCTCCTGACTGGGGCTGGGGTTCAGAGTGGCCAACTGAATGCTGGGCCATCAGGGTGAGGGGCGTCTTCTCACCCATTGCCTGTTCTCCTGGGGCAGATGGAAGGGGAAGGCCCTGCATTGGGGTGACATTAAACAAGATGAGATGGTAAGATCTGCTTTCACTTTAAAGGAACATTTCTGGTTGCTGCTTGGAAAGAAATGTCGGGGGAAGAATGCTGCAGGAGGGTCGGCCTGGAGGACCGGGTGGGACTGCGGGCTGGCTCTGTGGGGGCAGGAACATCAGAGGTGCCTGGGAGATCCTGGCTCTGGGGCAGAGGTGTGAGCAAGGGGGCCTCGCTGGGGTGTCTCTGTCTTAGCCATGCTCGGTGTTTCTGGATCCTGTGACCCACGGGTGAGCAGCCTGTGGTGCTGGTGGCACAGGGGAGGAAACCGAGGCAGAGAGCCTGTGGGGGCTGCTTGGCAGGGGACAGGCAGCTCCTGTGCCCACTGCTGTCCCGCACCTGCATGGCAAACAGAAACCCCGCCACGGAGCCCCTTTCCATCTTCTCTACAGGACCTCTAGAGAGCCATGTGTGGGGACTTCATGGGTGGGATGGGGTGGGGTCAGGAGCCTGCTGTAGGCTGGTGAGGTCCCAGCCCTCCCTGTCCCACCCTGCACTGCCTCCGTGCACCTCTCAGGGCCGTCACGGCTTTTCCTGTGGCTTCTGACAGGTAGAGTCAGCGATGACGGCTTCATAGCCATTAAGCTCACGGCACTGGGGAGACCCCAGTTTCTGGTAAGTGCTAGAACCTTCCACCTGCAGAGTCTGGTGCTGTGCGAGTCCTCAGGGCAGCTGTGGGCATCCACTGAAAGCACAGGTGCCTGTGCCTTAGAGGCCTGAGCTGGCCACAGGGGCTGCGTGGGGGACTGGGGCGGGCAGGGGCATGTGCAGATGGCATTCAGGCCTGTGTTTGCAGCTGCAGTTCTCAGAGGTGCTGACCAAGTGGAGACGCTTCTTTCACCAAATGGCTGCGGAGCAAGGGCAGGCGGGCCTGGCTGCCATGGACACCAAGCTGGAGGTGGCCGCGCTGCAGGTGGGGCAGCCCTCCCCTCCCCCACTCCCGGGGCTTGTGCGGGGGTGGGCACCGTGGGGGCGCACAGGGGGCATGGTGGGCAGTGGTCTGAGGTGGTTTGGGGACCTCATCCAGGGCATGTGGCTCACTCTGCAGCTGCTGGGGTTGGCCTTGTGGGGAGGAGGAAGTCGGAGGGACGCTGAACAGAGTGGGGAGATGCTGGTGGGAGGGCTGGGGACCAGCCCTGCAGGGCATGG